GGGGAGGCCTGGCTGGGCAGCCGCGGCTGGTGCGGCTAACTTGATCTCCTCGGGGAGCCGAGAGGCGGCTCAACTTTCATTGGCCCTTTGCTGCCGCTTGACCTCAGTGCTCAGCTATGAAGGGTGGTGCGTGCCGTGTGTGTGTGTGTGTGTGTGTGTGTGTGTGTGTGTGTGTGCCTGTGTTTGTGCATGCAAAGGAGAATGAGTGAATTGCTGGTTGCCCGGTTTTTCCTGGCTGCTGCGGGAGATAAATTCCGTCTCTCGGATCTTGAACAGGCATCGATCCGGACAGTTTCCAGCCGATCCTGGCAGATGTTCGGAAACTTCCCCCTTTCCCTCCCACCCCGTCAACAATCATGGTGTGGGAATTTCTGTCGCTCGGTGAAACGTTGGTGAGGGAGCTTTGTCTCGCTTTACGGCCTTTTCTCGCCGCGGTTGTTAAGCGAACCGCTGCCGCGGTTCAGCGAGGAACACGGTCGCTAAGCGAATCTGGCTTCCCCCTCGACTTTGCCGGCCAGGAGGTTGCGAAAGGGGATCACGTGACACACACACACACACACACACAAGGGGACACCGCTTCCGTCGTAAACACGAGTCCGTTGCCAAGCGTCTCAATTTTGATCACGGGACCCCCGGGCGGGGTGGTCGTAAGTGTGAAAAACGGTCGCCAGTCGCTTTTCTCAGGGCTGTTGTAACTTTGAACGGTCACTAAATGGACCGCTGTAAGTCGAGGACGTCGTGTCGGTCCGGCAGCGACATTAGGGGCGACTGAGGTTTTGCTTCTAAGCCACTTTTTCCCACTCTTGAGACTCCACCTCCCATCATCCCCTGCCAGGCTGGCCAGGCACAGCCCACCGGGGAGGGGAAAGGCCTCTTTTTTTTGGGGGGGGCAGTTTTTTCCACCTCAAGGGTCCTGGCAGCTGCATCCCCCCCCCCNTCCTTCCCCTCCCCTCCCCGCCCTCCTTTCTCCTTCCTCCCTTCCCCTTTCCTGTTTCCTTTCCTTTCTTTCCCTCCCCTCCCTTCCATTTGCCTTCTCTCTTCTCCTTCCTCCTTCCTCCTTCCTCCCTTCCTCCCCTCCCCTCCTCTTCTTTCTCCTCCCTCCCTTCCCCTTTCCTGTTTCCTTTCCTTTCTTTCCCTCCCCTTCCTTCCCCTCCCCTCCACGTGTTCCAGGGATGCTGCCACTGTTGCCCGGTTGCCAAGTGCCCATAAATGTAGTTTTAAGTCCTTTTTTTCCAATGTCACCGTAACTCTTGAACCCTACGTCAAGGGCTCCCCGTGAGGAATCCAGCAGGCACCATTCCAGCCGCCCGGGGTTGCTGCTCCCCTCCAGATGGGGAGGCTCCCTTTTGTGTGTCTGTCTGTGTGTGGGGGGGGGGGCTGCCTGGGCCTTGCAAAGCCAGCTCTGGAGAAGCACAGCTGGATTTGGTCAGCCTTCTAGAGGCTCTTATGCTTTTTCCTCCGGCCCACTTCTAGGCTGGGGGAAAGAGGAAATATTTACTCAACACCACAAACCGCCAAACGCCATCGACACCCCCCCCCCCGGTGTCTGCTGGCACGAAAGCCAGACCGACACCTGCTCCTTTTGCTCCGTCCTGCCGGGCCCCCACGCCGGACGCTCCGATCCGGCCTCCTTTCCTCGCCCTCGGAGGCGTCCAGGCCTTGCAGCTGTCCCGGCCCAGGATGCGGGCGGGAGAGGAGATGGTTTTTGCAAAGGAAGCCAAATCTTGCAATCGTTGTGCGATTGTGGAGCGTGCCACCGCCACGCGCTCAGGGTGCAAATGCAGCTAAAGGACGTCGCGGGGCGTCCTCGGCGTTACCACGGTCCGCTTAGCGACCGTTCGAACTTACAACGGCACTGGAAAAAAGGGACTCACGGCCGTTTTTCACGCTTACGATGGCGGCAGCGGCCCCGATGGCCACGTGATCAAAATTGGCAACTGGTGTGTATATACGACGGTTGCGAAAGGTTGTAACGACTGTCTGGCTTAGTAACCGAAAGGTTTGGGCCCAGTTGGGATTGTAAATTGAGGTTTAATGGCTGTAATTGAGGGTTGTTAGGTTAGAGGCGATGATGAGGATAATATAAGTGGCCAAAGAAAGCAAAGGTGGCACCAATAATCTTAGGCGCCTTGGGTACAATCCCGAAACATCTGGAGCTCCGCTTGAGCCCCGTCGGCGTTGACAAAAATCCCCATCGGTCAATTGCAAAAGGCAGGTTGACTTAGAAAAGCTTGCGACGAGAGCTTGAATCCCATCCAACATCCACATCTGGCTCTTCCAGGCCTTTGGGAAGGACTCCAGAGGGGGACAAAAATGTCAAATCCAGTCTGAACCTCTGGCTGACTCTTCAAACCACCGTATTCATAGTATCGGCATTGACAAAAATCCCCCTTGGTCAATTGCAAAAGGCAGCTTTAACTGGAGCAGCTGAAATCCTGCAGCAAGACCTTTAACTGGAGGCTAAAACATACAAGGAACGGTTGCTGGAATTGGGAATGTCCAGTTTAAGGAAGAGAAGGACGAGGGGGGACATGATAGCAGTCTTCCAGTATCTCAGGGGCTGCCCCAAAGAAGAGGGAGTCAAGCTATTCTCCAAAGCCCCTGAAGGCAGGACAAGAAGCAACGGATGGAAACTGATCAAGGAGAGAAGCAACCTGGAACTAAGGAGAAACTTCCTGACAGTGAGGACAATTAACCAGTGGAACCACCTGCCTCCAGAAGCGGTGAATGCTCCAACACTGGAAGTTTTTAAGAAGAGACTGGACAGCCATTTGTCCGAAATGGTATAGGGTTTCCTGCCTGAGCAGGGGGCTGGACTAGATGACCTCCAAGGTTTCTAATTCTGATAGCAGCCTTTCAATATCTAAGGGGCTCCCACAAAGAAGAGGGAGTCAACCAGTTCTCCAGGGCACCCGAAGGCAGGACGAGAAGCAACGGGTGGAAACTAACCAAGGAGAGAAGCAACCTAGAACTAAGGAGAAACTTCCTGACAGTGAGAACAATTAACCAGTGGAACAGCCTGCCACCAGAAGCGGTGAATGCTCCAACACTGGAAGTTTTTAAGAAGAGACTGGACAGCCGTCTGTCCGAAATGGTGTAGGGTTCCTGCCTGAGCAGGAGGTTGGACTAGATGACCTCCAAGGTCCCTTCCAACTTTATCATTATTATTATTATTAACCCCATCAAGCATCCACATCTTTCTTGTACTGCTGGGTGGTCCCCGTCCCCTCCCCAGGGGCTGGTTCTGAGGGGGGAGAGGATAGAGTTGCTACAATTGGGGAGTCGCAAAAAGGATTCGTTTCTTTGCATCCCTTGAGAGGCTGGGAAATGGGGAAGGGTCTGGGGTCAGGAGAGGCTCTTCTGCTCCCCCCTGGGGGTGGGTGTCCCCTCCTGGCATCCTGAGAGGCATCTGATTGGGCGGGAGGGGGGCACGGGCTGGTGCAAACATCTGTAGCCCATTTCCCTCCTGGGCGCGATCCAGGGGACGTCCCACTGGAGGTTTCAGCGGCTGCTTTTTCCCCCTGGTGAAGTTTGTGCCTGTGAAGGATGGGGGGAGCGTTTGCACGCTTCAGGGGGGTGGGTGGAAAGAGTGACCCCTTCCTTCCTCTGCCCCCCTCCCCCCCCATTTTGTTTTGTTTTGTTTTGAGAAAACAAGCCCGGTGCCAACTGTGGGCGTTGGGTCTTTCAGGGGGTGATCCTGGTTTTAGACTAAGCTTGGGAGTTAAAAATGTCGTATTGTGAAAAAGCCCAATCAATTTTGTCTGTCTGTCTGTCTCTATCATCTGTCCGTCAGTCTGTCAGTCCGTCCGTCCGTCTATCTGTCTATCTGTCTGTCTCTAGCTATCATCTATCTATCCATCCATAACAATCACCTATATATCATCTTTATCATCTGTCTGTCTGTCTGTCCGTCCGTCCGTCCGTCCGTCCGTCCATCCATCCATCCATCCATCCATCCATCCATCCATCCATCCATCCATCCATCCATCCATCCATCCATCCATCCATCTATCTATCTATCTATCTATCTATCTATCTATCTATCTATCTATCTATCTATCTATCTATCTATCTATCTCTGTTTATCTCTCTCTCTCATCTTCTGTATAATCTCTGTTTATATTTATCTAACTGTCTGTCTATCTATTATCTTCTATATAACATCTATATCTATCTGTCATTTTCTATATATCATCTATCATGTATCATCTATCTATTTCTATCTGTTTCTATCTATCTGTCTGTCTGTCTGTCTGTCTGTCTCTAGCTATCATCTATCTATCCATAACAATCACCTATATATCATCTTTATCATCTGTCTATCTATCTATCTATCTATCTATCTATCTATCTATCTATCTATCTATCTATCTATCTATCATTTTTATATATCATCTATCATGTATCATCTATCTATTTCTATCTGTTTCTGTCTGTCTGTCTGTCTGTCTGTCTGTCTGTCTGTCTGTCTGTCTGTCTGTCTGTCTGTCTGTCTGTCTGTCTGTCTGTCTGTCTCTAGCTATCATCTATCTATCCATAACAATCACCTATATATCATCTTTATCATCTGTCTATCTATCTATCTATCTATCTATCTATCTATCTATCTATCTATCTATCTATCTATCTATCTATCTATCTATCATTTTTATATATCATCTATCATGTATCATCTATCTATTTCTATCTGTATCTATCTATCTATCTATCTATCTATCTATCTATCTATCTATCTATCTATCTATCTATCTATCTATCTATCTATCTATCTATCTATCTATCATCTGTCTATCATCTGTCTGTCCGTCCATCTATCTATTATCTTCTATATATCATCTATATCTGTCTCTGTCTGTCTGTCTGTCCATCTGTCTCTGACGCTTTGGTAAATAAGTTGTCCCCCCCCTCTTCTTTGTGGCAGCCCCTCAAATATCATGCCCCCCCCCCCAGTCCTTCTTTTCTCTAGACTGGCCCTACCCAATTCCAGCCACCGTTCTTCGTATGTTTCTGTCTCCAGGCCTTTGATCATCCTTGTTGCTCTTCTCTGCGCTTTCCCCCCAAAATCTCAGCCTCTTTTGTGTCATGCGGGGACCAAAACTGGGCGCCGCATTCTGGGAAGGGGCCTCACCGGCTCCCCCCTTCTTGTTTCTGCCCTGCAGACAGCAAAGCCATCGTGGACGGCAACCTGAAGCTGATCCTGGGGCTGATCTGGACCCTCATCCTGCACTACTCCATCTCCATGCCCATGTGGGAGGACGAGGACGAGGAGGACGCCAAGAAGCAGACGCCCAAGCAGCGTCTCCTGGGCTGGATCCAGAACAAGGTGCCGCAGCTGCCCATCACCAACTTCAACCGCGACTGGCAGGACGGCAAGGCCTTGGGAGCCCTGGTGGACAACTGCGCCCCCGGTGAGCCTGCCTGTGTGTGTGTGGGGGGGGGCACCTGAGTGGACAGGGGGAGGGAGGGGAGGGAGAAGCACTGGATGGGATCGGACCGGATGGCCTTACTGGACCTGATGCCCTGCAGGTGGATGGAATGAGTCATTGACCACTAGTTGATCACATCTGGAGAGGTTTGCAATCTATTTAGGCCTAATTGATATATCCATCCATCCATCCTGTCATCCTTCCTTCCTTCTCTCCTTCCCTCCCTCCCTCCCTCCGGCCCTTCCTTTCTTATCATCCAGCCAGCCATCAATCCATCCCTGCACCCTTCCATTCCTCCTTCCTTCCTTCCTTCCTTCCTTCCTCTCTGTTTCTCCTTCCTTCCTCTCTTCCTCTTCTTCCTTCCTCTCT